TGGATGGTAGCCAGTAACATTGCGTGATTCAAAGGTGGCAGAGGCCTTGCTTCTTTATTAAGAGTAATGGCTGGCATTTGCTATTCCCCAAGAGTCTGTGCAGCAGATGGACCATAGAAAATCACGCCCTGTCTGGTGTTTTGGGTTGCATGGGTTGGTTGAAGAAAGAGGGTCACTCCAAGATGAATGTTAGGCTCTCGGCAGCAGGGAGAAAGTTTCTGTGAACTGAACCTTGAACAGTGTGCAAAGGCTTACATAATGATTATTACACAAAAGTTGTTTGGGGGGGGGGGGTAAAACAAGTTCCTCATGCCTAAGCCCCTGGTCTAATCTACACATTTTTTTTTTTCTGGAAGAAATCATCACACTCCTGCCCCTTTAGTCCTTACTATATAGTGTTTTGAGTTCCCAATAATTCAAGATAGCTAGGTGTGCCAGGGTAGTCCTGTGACCAAAGTCGTGCAAAGGCTGTAAAACTTGAGAAAAACAACCCCATAGGTAACAGAAAACAATCAGCGTTTTCTACAGTGATTTCTTCAAGGTCAAAGCACGTCTAGAAGAAAACCATTCATTCTGATGTTTACCCCAGACACAGTGAAAAACAACTATTTCTTTTTTTGTTGTCGTTGTTGTTTCAAGACAGAGTTTCTCTGTGTAGCTTTGGAGCCTATCCTGTCACTTGCTCTGGAGACCAGGCTGGCCTCGGACTCAGAGATCCGCCTGCCTCCCGAGTGCTGGGATTAAAGGCGTGCGCCACCAACGCCCGGTGAAAAACAACTATTTCATTCTAATGTTTGCCCCAGACACAACGATTCTAGTAAATTTCTGCTACTATAACTCCATCACCTCAAGTTTCCTTTCTGAGAAGATGTTTAGGGAAAGATTTAGGGCGGAAGAAACTGTGAACCATATGTATTTATTTAAGATCAATTGGATTGTGCAGATGTCTTGGGGGAACAGTTAGGGACCAACTTGTCTAAAGGTCCTGAAGCTTGGTTGGAACGCTCCGGGAAACAGGACCCAAGTTAACATAAGTGGGGTGGCCAGAGAGATACAGGAAATCAGAGCAATGACCAGCAAGGATTTGGCTACTGCTCTATCCTCAGCGTTGAGAGTGTGTCAGGGGGCTGAAGAGATGGCTCAGGGGTTAATAAAAAAACCCCCCCCTCCCCCCCCCTCCAAAAGGAAAAAAACCGCCCCCCGCCACTTGCCACTCGACAGCCAGCCGCAGCACACAGGAGAGCAGGCATGGCACCTTGCCTGGGCAGCACACTAGAGCTGACCTGTTGGTTGGGACTGTGGGGGTGAGAGCAGGAGAGCTGCCCCACCCCCTCTCTCATATGCAAGGGTTATGGAAATGTGCCCTCCCCTCTGCCCCTCGCCACCTGTGACGGGCGGGAGAGCTGTCCTGGGGGGGGGCATGAAAATGGAAGAGCTGGCCCTGCCCCTCACCAAGCACAGCAGTCTGGAGAGCGGGCCCTGCACGTCACCTCACCTGTAGAGCTGGCGAGTTGGGGTGAGTGGGCGAGTTGGACCTGAGAGTGTGAGAGCCGAAGAACTGGACCCCACGCCCTGCTGCCTGCTGCATTGGGCGATTTAGCCGGGACAGTGCCAGACAGCTCACTTGTGACGATGAGGGAAAGCTGGCAGGCTGACCAACCCAGCTGCCACCCAGGCCCGGAACCAGGACTGTGACGTAGCCCACCCCAATACCCACCTCATCTGTGATCCGCTGGAGTGTGTGAAGGGGCTGGACCCGAGACCCAAAGCTACAGGATCTCAGTGACACAAGACAGGATACCCAAGAGGAGTCCCAGTGAGGGCCCAGTGTCTAGCGATAGAG